AAAAAAAAAAAAATTAAAAAAAAATAACAGAGTACAATAGGCTCTGAGGAGGAGGGCATAGTAGAAGAAATATAGGCAGAAGGCAGGTATAATCTGTGTCTGAGGCTGGATGAAGATTCAGGCTCCAAGAAACAAGCACTACCTTTAGATTCCACTAGAATAAATCCATTAATAAGAGTTTAGGAACAGTCTCTATGTTTGTTGCACCATTCTAGGTGTTGTGTCTGATAAAAAAGTAAGGCATAGTCTTTCCCGCTAAGCTGTTCACAGGATTACCTCTTCATCAGCAAAGAATATATGAGTAATTCTAGCTACAATCCTGACAGTAACATCAACTAAGGCAAAGTCTTCTAATATATCTCACTGTATGGTAGGAGAGAAAGAATGTAGGTAACGAAAACATCAAAACAGGGCTTCTGGGCCTGCCTGCAGAATGGACAGCCCAGTCCAATATTTAATCTTTAAATAGATAACAAAGAAGTAAAAGTGGGAAGGCATGATTACTTTCCCAGCATCTTTTCCCAAAACATTGTGGTTTCTCTTAAAATCCATGTCTTGTCATTCATAAATTTATCGAATAAGTTAATTGAAAGTTCCAACTATATCTGAAGCTATTGATACTTTTGGAAATGTACTTATCATTTAGGGTAACAACTCCATTTATCAGTTTTATATTTACTCTTTTCAATCATCAAGGGACTTCCCTCTTCACTTGTCCCATGGTTTGGAGTTTTAGTAAAATAAGTACCCATTCTCCCTCTTTAACCCACAGTATTTGCAACAAAGCCCTTACTTAGGATGTAAACATCAAAACGAAGCAGGTTTATTTAATATTTCATATTCTCTATCCACCCTTTAAAGCTCTGATCAAATGCTTTTTCCTCTGTGAATTATTATCTGGTTACTCTCAAAATGATCTCTCCCTTCTCTCATCACATGAAAAACTAATTGTCTGCTCCACTTTTTTTTACATTCTTCTGATCATCTACTTTAAATTGTTACTAAATCATTTCATATATACATATTTCATGTTTTCCAGCCAGGTTATAAGCTTTGTGAAGACAAGCTCCTAACTTCAAGATACTGCCCAACTATCTATTCTATACAGGGTACTAGCTTAGCAGCATTGAAGATACAGCAGACACATGGTGAACGCGAAAGTATATGTTAATTTTAGAGGCTGCAGTTACATTTTTAAAAAGAAACACTGCTGTTGAAATAAATACATCTGGCCTGTAGGCTGTCAATAATTATTTGTCTAAAATAAGGTATTGGAGGTGAAATGGAAAAAAGAGAACTCACAGGAAAGATAGAATTAGGAAGCTATGAAAGCTAATTCAATATATGGTAGGAAGAAAAAAAAGCATCAGAGATGCCTAGGTTTCTAACCTGGTGGACAGGCAATATAGTAGTGACATTTACCAATAAATGACATAAGAAAGTAGGAGAAGGTTTGAAGGTGGAGTTGGCAATTAGACAGAAGTTAGTATGTCACTTGGATCATGAAGAAGGTATCAGCAGAATAGCCATGGTGACTTTGTCAGTAGAGCATCTAGGTGTTTGCATTTGGAATTCAGGAGAGAAGCCAGAGGTAGAGATTAGGAGACATAAATGTAGAGATTGTGTGGAATGTGAGATGCTACCCAGAGATAGTACAGAATAAGAGAAGAAAATATGGACAACGTCCTGGGAAGCACCTAAATTTTAGAGGTAAGTAAGAGATAGTGAAGGCTACATCTATAATTAAGGAGCAGAATCAGGGGAATGAAATGTCTTAAGATCCAAAGCAGGAGAAAGTTTTGAGGAATAGCACAGCCTTGAGAGACTATAAAAGTGCTTGGCACATAGTAGGAATACAATTAAGTTTTATCGAATGCATGAGTGATGCTTTGAAGGATTCACAGCATAGAAGGCAAGAACATCAGGCCAATCTGAGTTCCTTTTCATAAAAACACAAATATCTTAGCTACCATCAGCAACTGGACATCTCAATTACAACTCTATAGTGTGTAAGCGATCCTATGATTTTATAACTTAATTATCTTTTCAGTAAGGCTCAACAAACCTTGTGACTGGATGACAATCACCTTCCCTTGAGCTGAATATATTTTGAGACAAAATCTTGCTCTGTTGCCAGGCTGCAGTGTAGTGATGTGATCTCAGCTCACTGCAACTTCCCAACGTCTGTCTCCCAGGTTCAAGTGATTTTCCTGCCTCAGTCTACCGAGTAGCTGGGACTTCAGGCATGCACCATCATGCCAAGCTAATTTTTGTATTTTTAGTAGAGACGGGTTTCACCATGTTGGCCAGGATGGCCTCGATCTGCTGACCTCACTCTCCACCCACCTTGGCCTCCCAAAGTGCTGAGACTACAGATGTGAGTATTTTTTAAAGTAGAAAATGTGTGGCTATTTACTGGTACTATAACTCAGTCGGTTTCAGCCTCAAGGTTTGTGAAGGGCTGCAGAAATTTTCTTTATAACAACAATGAACGTTTCAAATGAGAAACATTTCATCTTAACAAATAACTGTACTCATTTGGGTATGAATTTTTATTGGCAAACATTTGTCTGTGTTAGAGCAAAAAGAGGTCTCCAGAGGAAAACTAAGGACATTAATTTCTCACACCCATGGTTTTTGTTGTGTAGTGAGACCAGAATTCACAACGTAAAATTAACTCAAGAAAGACAACATTAAAGCTTAGTTTGTGCTTTCTAGGCAGAATTCTCTGTTTTCAGCCCTTTCATCACAGTCCACCCCTTCTGGTCCTAACTCAAAGGTGGTTGCACCAAATCAGCACAACTTTTATTAAAAATGGACCCAACTATTTGAGGTGGTCGACTGGAAAAATTTTCAGCTAAGTTTTCATATCCAGTATAAATGGGTTTTATATGTGTCTATGCCTTCATATGCTTGGATACCCCAGACATTAATTTAAATCTCTGTCCTGGGCCTGACCTATGTCCCAATGCAATACCATAGCTTTTTTTCTAAGTTTGAAATGAGTAGGCCAAGAGCTGGAGCTAAAGCTATGTTGTGGCTGCTAGAAGAAGAAAAAAGTCATCTGAACCGAGGACTTACCTGTTCCTTTCCATCAGAGAGATCGACTGAGGGTTATCTATGTGACCCAGCTCTATGCAATATTAAGGAACCAGTTGGCACTAAGTTAACTTAATTATCAGTTGGCAGAAAGTACCTTCTTACATACAAATGTATATGTGTTAAGGGAAGGTATCTGGCCCTGCCCACTGAACGGCTATGGTATACCTAATCTGGGTAAGAGTTAAAAGCCAAGATAAAGGACAAGAGCGTCAAGGGCCAAATTCCTGGCAAAGACATCAATGCAAAGTCAGCAAACTGAGGGCAGCTGCACAGAAGTCCTTGGAATATGAGGGGCAGAGAAAAAAGGGTCTGAGCAGACACAGGTTAAGAAGATTGTACCTTTAGGATTTGTTCTACCAAGCTGTACCAAGTCATATCTCTGTTGCAAGAATTCATCTTAGCACATAAAGTTACCTTGCTGAAATATGCCAATGTTTTCCTTTTTTAAAAAAAGCCCTCTATATAAAGTATATATATATTTATTTCTTCCAAAGAACCGGTTTTCAAGTTTGTTGTATATTTTTGCTGTGTAAAGGATGGTATATGGTGTACCCACAAATAAATACAGGATTTAAACGTGAGTAAAACACAGAAATTCATCCTAGAAGAGAGAAGACTAAAATGATAATTTGAATACAAAGACCCCAATTCAATATGTGACAAAACACATTTTAGCAAGAGAGATTTCTCCCAAAAACAGGATCCAGAAAAGCATCCTATTTTCATTTTTTATTTTTAATTTTTTTTTCACTCAATGATCTTTTATTATCGGGTACCCTGGCTGGCCCGGGACCCAGAGAGACAAGCTGAGATCAAGCAGGGCATAGCATCTGAGACCCATTTTACAGGTGAGAAAAATGAAGAGCAGAGGCCTGCAGGAACTTGCAGTAGGCAGCCTGCACCAGGGAGCCCCACCCTGCCGGAATCATCTGCCCTGCCCTAAGCCTGGCCCACAGTGACTGCCACATTTCAGACAGGAAAGTGAGCAATGGGATGTGCCTTTTGCCCCCTCTGGGAGGGCATGGGGCTAGGGGGAAGGAGCAGGACAGTGATATCTGTGCTGCTAGCTGAGAGGCGAGGCCGGGTCCCAGGAGTGGCTGAGATGTGGGGGCTGCTTTCTTCTGTGTAGAAGTCCCCACAAGGCTCCCCGCTCTGCTGACCCTTTACCTAGGGCCTGTCGGAAAACACTTCTTACTGTGAAGGGGACGAAACTAATAGGGGACAGTGGCGGACATGGATCTACCTCCATTCCTGAGTCGCAGCCCAGACTTGGCCTGGGGTCACGGCACCAGGTGGCCCCTCTGGCCAGTCCACAGTTCTTGGAACTCAACATGGCAAACCAGGTCCTGCAGGGCGGCCTTGGCCACATCCTCACAGCTGCGGTGGTTCGACTGGGCCTTTGTAATGAGTGCCTCAGCCCCCAGGTCCAGGATGGGCTTCGAGAAGGCCCGGCTGCGGGACACCAGGTTTCGGATCAGCATACAAACCTGTTTCTGCACGCCGGCCTCCTGCGGGTGCGCCTTCATGGCCTGCAGCGCTATCACAACCCCGCCACCCTCCACGATGATGTGGCTGTTGTTGGGCTTACGCAGGGCCAGAACGCTCACGGCCACACAGTTCTGCTCACACACCTGGGGGCTGGCCTGGTGCCAGGTCATGGCAGCCACGATGGACTCCATCCCGCCAACATGGACAATGGCGTCCTTTACGTCATCGTTGCCTGCGATGGCTCGCAGGGCGCTCAGCAACTGCTTCACGAGCTTCTGGTGGTCACTGCAGTCAGCCAGCAGGGACACCAGGATGCTCAGGCCCCCGAGGTCGACGACCTCCTGGCAGAACTCGTTGCGGACAGCCAGGCGGGACAGGGTTCCACAGAGCTCGCTCAGGATGCTGGGGTCATCCAGGAATGCTTTGGTGGCTTTGATCAGCACCTTCAATCCTCTGTTCTCCTGCACAATCATCTTGGCGTGGTTGTGGACGTGGCTAATGGACATACGCATGTCGTCATAGAAGGTCATGACACGCAGGGCCCAGCAGGCCTCTCTGACCACGTTGGTGTGGTGGCCATAATGGACAATGGCGCCAGTCAGCAGCGGCAGCAAGCCGGCTTTCACCAGGTCTTGCCGATTCTGTTCATGTTTCAGGCAAGCATGACGTACACAGCGGATCCCAGAACAGGTCAGGTCGGCCTCGTTGGCATTCTGGGCCAGTGTGGCCACCAGCAGCTGCAGGCCCTGGGTGTCCAGGAGGTCTGGTTGGCCATCAGTCAGCACTGACAGGGCATTGAGGGACTGGAGCAGAAGGCTCCGGTCACTTGTAGTGGCCAGCTTCCAGACAGCAAAGATGATGGGGTAGGTCCCTTTCTGGGCTTCGAGGAAGCAGCAGGCCTTGTCCTGCTTGCGCTGGTCGCAGAAGTGGGTGAGGTGTGCTGACACTTCCTGGGGGCAAGAGCTGGCCACAGACTCCTGTAGGTCACTCAGCGTCTGCAGGACGTCACATGTGGGCTGCTGGGGGCCGTCTGCAGAGACTTCAGGCACCATCTTTACGGTGTTGCTCAGATCAAGCCCTTGCGATTCAAACTGCTCCACGGCCTCTTTGACCGCCTTCTCTGGCCCCATCACAAACTCCTTGATGTTCTCACGCACAGTTGTGTCAAAGGTCTCCTGGGCAATGCGCTTAGACACCATCTTCCCTGCGCTGATGTTGGCATGCAGCCGATAGGTGCTCCAGAGCTTGTCTTCGCTTTTTATTTTATTAAAAATAAAAAATTATTTTTATTTTTTGTGGGTGCATAGTATGTATATAAACTTGTGGGTTACATGAGATATGAGATATTTTGACACAGCTTTACAATGCATAATAATCACATCATGAAGCATGGGATATCCATTCTCTCAAACATTTTTATTTTGTGTTACAAACCATCCAATTATACTCTTAATTATTTCAAAATGTACAATTAAATTATTATTGACTAATAGTCCCCCTGTTGTGTTATCAAATACTAGGCCTTATTCATTCCTTATAACTATATTTTTGTATGCATTAACCATCCCTGCCTCCACCCCCCACTACCATTCCCAGCCTCCGGTAACCATCCTGCTCTCTATGTCCATGAGTTAAATGATTTTGATTTTTAGATCCCAGAGATAAGTGAGGACATGCAATGCTATCTTTTTGTGCCTGGCTTATTTCACTGAATGTCATCCTGTTCCATCTATGTTGCTGTAAATATCAGGATTTCATTCTTGTTTATGGCTGAATTGTAATCCACTTTGTATATGTACTGCATTTTCTTTATCCATTCATCTGCTGATGGATACTGCTTCTAAATCTTAGCTACTGCGAACAGTTCTACAAGAAACATTGGAGTGTAGATATATCTTTGATATACTGATTTCCTTTCTTTTGGGTATATACCAGCAATGGGATTGCTGGATCATACGGTATCTCAATTTTTAGGTTTTTTTAGGAGCCTCCAAACTGACCTCCATAGTGGTTATACTAAAATTTACATTCCTATCAACAGTGGACGAGGGTTTCCTTTGCTCTCCATTCTTTCCAGCATTTGTTATTGCCTGTCTTTTGGAATGAAAGCCCTTTTAACTGAGGTGAGAGGATATCTCATTATAGTTTTGAGTTGCATTTCTCTGATGATCAATTATGTTAAGCACCTTTTCATATGTTTGTTTCACATTTGTATGTCTTCTTTTGAGAAATGTCTATTCCAATCTTTTTGCCCATTTTAAAATCAGATTATTAGGTTTTTTCCTTTAGAGTTGTTTGAACTTCTTATATATTCTGGTTATTAACCCCTTGTCAGATGGGTTGTTCGCAAATATTTTCTCCCATTTTGTGGGTTGTCTCTTCACTTTGTTGGTTATTTCCTTTGCCATGCTGAGGCTTTTTAGCTTGATGTGATTCCATTTTTGCTTTGGTTGCCTGAACTTGTGGAGTATTACTCAGAAAATCTTTGCCCAGGCTAATGTCCCGGAGAGTTTTCCCAAAGTTTTCTTTTAGTAGTTTCATATTTTGAGGACTTAGATTTAATCTCTTAATCTATTTTTATTTCATTTTGTATATGGCAAGAGATAAGGGTCTTGTTTCACTCTTCTGCATATAAATATCCAGTTTTCCCAGCACCATTTATTGAAAAGATGGTCTTTCCCCAGTATGTTCTTGACAGTTTTGTTGAAAATGAGTTCACTGTAGGTGTGTGGAATTGTTTCTCGGTTCTTTATTCAGTTCCATTAGCCTATGTATCTGTTTTTATGCCAGTACAATGCCATTTTGGCTACTATAGCTCTGTAGCATAATTTGAAGTTGGGTAGTGTGAGTCCTCCAGCTTTGTTCTTTTTGGTTAGGATAGCTTTAGATATTCTTGGTCTTTTGTGGTTCTATATACATTTTAGGGTAGTTTTTTTCTATTTCTGTGAAGAATGTCATTGGTATTTTGACAGGATTACATAGAATCTGTAGATTGCTTTGGGTAGCATAGACAATCAAACAATATTGGTTCTTCCATCCATTAACATGGAATATTTGTCCAATTTTTGGTGTCCTCTTCAATTTATTTCATCAGTGTTTTGTAGTTTTCATTATCGAGAACGTTTACTTCTTTGGTTAATTCCTAGGTATTTAATTTTATTAACGGCTTTGTAAATTTTACTACTCCTTATTTCTTTTCCAGTTTGTAACCTGTGGACATATAGAAATGCTACTGATTTTTGTATGTTAATTTTGTGTCCTTCAACTTAACTGATTTTGTTTATCAGTTCTAATAGTTTTTGGTGGCATCGTTAGGTTTTTCCTAGTATAAGATCATATCATCTGCAAACAGGGATAATTTTACTTCTTCCTTTCCAGCTTGTATGCTTTACATGTTTATCTTATCTGATTGTTCTAGCTAGGACTTCTAGTACAATGTTGAATAACAGTAGTGGAAGTTGGCATCCTTCAGAAAAGTATTATAGGGTAGAGAACATTTCAGAAGCAAATAAAATAATGAAAGATGAAAATAAGAGACAACAGCAAGACAGAAAGGTGAAGGAACCAGCTCAAGTCACAATTTGACAGGAAGGAGCAATGCATGTTCACAAAATCACCATAGCAATTCAGATAAATTATAGCAGAAGGCCCCTGTTGAGGACCAGCAACAAATGCAGGTGAATTAAACTGAAGACATAGCCCAGTGGTTCTCAAATATTTATGAACATCTGTATTATTTGCGATGGGGGACACTTGTTAAAAATGAAGTTTTTTTGGACCTGTTCCCTGAGATTCTGTTTTGTATGTCTGGGATATCTGAATTTGTTTCTGGTTCCCAACAGGGACCTTCTGCTATTATTCATTTGGATTGTTCTGGTGATGCTATGAACATGAATTGACCCTTGCTGCTTACTTATTGTCACTTGTGCTGGTTCTTCTGCCTGTCCTGTCTATGTTGCCATTGTTGCTTCTGGGCAGTGGCAAGAAATTTGGAAGGGTGATAGGCTCCTTCAAGGGAAGCTGATGCAGGTTTTCAGAATGCACACTTAAGGAAACCTTAAGTTAGGAAGTGATAGCTTAGCAGAATTCACTATCAGATTTCTTTAAATTCCAACTTTGTCCAATTAATTTTGGTAGTATTTTATTTGAAGTAATGCTATTGAACTATAACTCTTCTAGAATAGAAATATTTAATAAAGACATTTATGCCTGTTATTCTAATTGGAATAAATTATTTCAATTAAAACAGGAGGAAAACACCAAGCAATAGTGCTTGAAAACTTTATATAAACAAGCTGACAAAAATCATTTTCCCCAGTAGTCATTATCTGTCTGAAGGTCACAAACAAGGTTTTTCCTTTGAGTTTGCATAAATTAGGAGACTACCTGCTGGTCTGTTTACAAAAATTAACTGTTCATTTCTCCATCTGGGAGAGCTTTGGTTACTTTGGTTTAAATGTTCTTGGTAATGAAATCTGAAATATTGCCATATATTCCACTTGGGCAGCATCATCCATTTATCGAATGGAATATATAAGCTTCCAGCATTAGATAATCATAGTTTAGGAACATATTTTTAATAAGAAAGCATGTGATATAGGTAAATTTTTGCCATCCAAAAGGAGCCATGAAGGCCAGGAGCCAACAAAGGAAAAAATTGTGAAGTAGGGTTTTTCCTGGCACAAAAATGAAGAGTATTCTAGACAGCACAAACAGTGTGGAAGACCACGCATAAGCCATAAATTGTCTTGTGTGTTGTAAGAAATGGATAGGACATTGGTTTCACTAACAAAACAGGTTGAGGCCACACGTTGTAAAGAGCCTTGAATAATAAACATAATATAAGCTAATACCTACATATAAGTTACATTGTACCAGGCATTATTCTAAACACTTTATATACATTAATTTGTTTATTACAAAAAGCCTTTGACATAGGTGCTATTATTACCCTCATTTAACAAGGAGACTGAGCTACTCAGAAGTCACCAAAGGATTTCAGGCATGATCAGATTTGTATTTGAGAAAGGTAATTCTGGTTGCAATGTGGAAGAAGGTTTAGAAACGGGAGATAGTACAAGATTTAATGAAAACTCAGAATTAGAGCAGTATAAATGGAAAGTAAGGATATATTCCAGAGAGAGATGTGAGGCAGAATTGACTACTTAAGGGCTAATTGGATTTCAGGTTTCTAGGAAGAAATGAAAGAAGTATTATTAATTATTACTGTCAGGTCACACTTGGAGGATGTATAGGTAGATAGTACTGATATCCATCAGGACATGAAATATAAAAATATTCATATTTTATAGGTAACATGGTAAATTTTGTTTTGGATATGTTATACTGAAATTCTAGTAGAATACCAGAGGTAAATATAAAACAGACAGTTAGCTATACTAATGTAGAACCAGAAGAGAGATCTGACCATAAGGTAGACTTGGGTATTATCAGCATTTGTAATGTTCATATTTGGCCTACTGGAGTTCCCACCTTCATCACTGCTGTCTGATTTATTGGTAAGAAACATGTTGTTATAAAAGGAGGGTGGAGCTTTTTGAGATCAGAAAACCACTGCACATAAAAGCAGTTTAAATATCTACCAAAGCTTAAATGTCACATATCAAGTCAGAAGGGATTCAACAAGTTTTATGCGGAGAAGTAGGAAGTATCTGAACAAAGAGTGCACATGCTTGCTCAGTATTTATCAAACTTTAATGTACATGTAAATTACTCTGGGAATCTTGGTAAAATGCAGATTCAAATTCAGTCAGTTTGGCCTGAGACATAAAATTCTACAAAAATTTCAAGCACTCAGGAGATGCCAATGCTGCTAGTTCTAGATTGTTGCTACATCTGGTAGCAACAATCTAGACAGGTGCTGTTTAATGGAAATATAATGTGAGCCACATATAATTTTAAATGTTCTAGGAGCCACATTCAAAATTAAAAAATGAATTGGGTAAAATTAATTTAAATATATATATACAATTAACCAAACATATCCAAATATAATTTCATTATGTATAATATTTACAATATTAGTGAAATATTTTACATTCTTTTTTTGTGCTAACTGTTTGAAATACAGTGTGTAGTTTACACTTACAACATCTATCTCAATTTGGACTAGGCACATTTCAAGTGCTTAAAAGCCCACATATGCAGTACAATGCAAGCCCAGATAGTTCCACATCTGATGTCTTGAATCGCTGATCACTGTTATCCCCACAAAAATATATCTAA